AGGTAGACCGAGTGTCAGCCGTGAGTAATTGGCAAACACCAACCACTGTGAAAGAGGTGCAGCAGTTTTTGGGGTTTGCGAATTACTACCGGAGGTTTATCCGGGGTTTTGGGCAGGTGGCAGCTCCCATCACGTCTCTCTTAAAGGGGGGCCCGGTGCGTCTGCAGTGGTCAGTCGAGGCGGACAGGGCTTTTAAGAAGCTGAAGGACCTGTTCACCTCGGCTCCGGTGCTGGCGCATCCGGATCCCTCTTTACCATTTCAGGTAGAGGTGGACGCGTCTGAAGCCGGTATTGGCGCCGTGCTGTCCCAACGGTCAGGCGCGCCACCTAAATTCCGCCCCGTTGCCTTCTATTCCAAGAAGCTCAGCCCGGCGGAGCGAAATTATGACGTAGGGGACAGGGAGCTGTTAGCTGTGGTCCAAGCCCTTAAGGTGTGGAGGCACTGGCTTGAGGGGGCTCAACACCCTTTCCTCATTTTGACGGACCACCGTAACCTGGAGTACATCCGGGCAGCGAGGAGGCTGAACCCTCGACAGGCTAGATGGAGTAAGTTTTTGACCCGTTTCTCTTTTAAGATCACCTACATCCCTGGGTCACAAAACGGTAAGGCAGATGCACTGTCTCGGCGGTATGACGGGGAGGAGAGGTCCGTGGAGCCCACTCCCATACTGCCGGAGTCGTGTCTAGTGGCACCGGTGGTGTGGGAGCTCGATTCTGAGCTCGAGCGGGCATTACGCACCGACCCTAGTCCACCACAATGCCCGGAGGGTCGGAAGTATGTTCCGCTCGAGTGTCGGGATCGATTGATCTATTGGGCTCACACGTCACCCTCCTCTGGACATCCGGGTATCGGCCGGACAGTGCACTGTCTTAGTGCCAAATATTGGTGGCCTACGTTGGCCAGGGATGTGAGGGTTTATGTTTCCTCCTGCTCGGTGTGCGCCCAGTGTAAGGCGCCTAGACATCTGCCTAGGGGTAAGTTACTACCCCTGCCCGTTCCACAACGACCATGGTCCCACCTCTCGGTGGATTTTATAACTGACCTTCCCCTCTCTCAAGGGAATACTACACTCCTGGTCGTTGTGGATCGGTTCTCTAAGGCCTGTCGTTTGCTCCCCATGCCGGGTCTTCCTACTGCCCTACAAACCGCCGAAGCACTATTCACTCATGTGTTCCGGCACTACGGGGTGCCCGAGGACATTGTGGCTGACCGGGGTCCCCAATTCACCTCCAGAGTCTGGAGAGCTTTTATGGAGCGGTTGGGGGTCTCGGTGAGTCTCACCTCGGGTTACCACCCGGAGAGTAATGGGCAGGTGGAACGCGTAAACCAGGATGTGGGCAGGTTTCTCAGAACATACTGCCGGGACCGGCCGGAGGAGTGGGCGAGATATGTGCCCTGGGCTGAGATGGCACAGAACTCTCTTCGCCACTCCTCCACCCAACTAACCCCTTTTCAGTGTGTTTTAGGGTACCAGCCGGTTCTGGCACCATGGCATGAGAGCCAGATCGAGGCCCCCGCTGTGGATGAGTGGGTGCGGCGCTCGGAGGAGACGTGGAACGCTGCACACGTCCATCTGCAGCGTGCCATACGTCGACAGAAGACGAGCGCCGACCTACACCGCAGTGAGGGGCCTGTGTACGCACCTGGAGATCGAGTCTGGCTCTCTGCCAGAAACCTGCCCCTCCGCCTGCCCTGTCGGAAACTGGGTCGGCGGTTTGTAGGGCCATTTAAAGTCCTGAGAAGGTTGAACGAGGTTTGTTATAGATTACAGTTGCCAGTGGAGTATAAATGTATTAACCCCTCGTTCCATGTGTCCCTTCTCAGGCCGGTGGTAGCAGGCCCGCTCCAAGAACATGAGATCTTGGAGACCCCCCCGCCCCCGTTGGACATCGAGGGGGCACCGGCGTACACCGTGAGATCCATCTTGGATTCTAGACGTCGGAGAGGGGGTCTTCAGTATCTAGTGGAGTGGGAGGGGTACGGTCCGGAGGAGCGGTGCTGGGTGCCGAGGAGAGACATCTTGGACCCGTCGCTCCTGACGGAATTCCATCGGGGGTATCCGACGCGCCCTGCGCCGCGGCCTCCGGGTCGTCCCCAAGGCCGGAGTCGGCGCGCGTCTGGAGCCGCGCGTCAAGGGGGGGGTACTGTCACGGTTTCGGCCGAGGCTGCCTCTCTCCCTTGTTCGGGCAGGCTTCGGCGTTTGTCGTCTCCGGAATTCTAGCTGCCACCGATTTATGTTTTCATGTTCGTTTGCTTTTGTCTGTTTGTGTCACACCTGTTTCTGTTTTACGTGATTAGTGTCCTATAAGTTTCTCGTTGTGTTTGTCTTGTGTTGTGTGTGATTGTTTTCGTCAGTGTTGTGTTTGCTCGGTTGAGCATATTTCTCTCCACTGCGCTGGAGCTCGTTTGCACTTGTTTCGTGCACTACATATTTTGTCGCACCTGTTTGTGCGCATTTTGCCTACACGCCTTGGGCGTAGTTTAGCTGTTGGGCTTTGTTGCCCTGTTGCCTGTGTTTGGGTCGGAATACAGCTTTTGGAACCTACCGTCTGCGTCCTGCATCTGATTTCCTACACCACACCTACACACGCCCTGACAGCTTTACTATTCTTGGGTGGCGGAATTACTTTTTCTTCCCTCCAGGCCTGAGGTTACACACTTTCTCGTAGGCTTAGATTGAAGATATGGCAAATAGGAGTGGCAATATCGTCCGCTATTATCCTCAGTAATTTTCCATCAAATATTCCATCTTCCACACTCACTTTACAAAATTCAAAATTCAAATGTTTGTCTTTAATAATTTGATCAGTTATACTTGGATGTGTAGTGTCAGCGTTTGTTGCTGGCATGCCATGCCTAACTTTGCTAGTCTTGCCAATGAAAAAATCATTAAAGTAATTGGCAATATCAGTGGGTTTTGTGATGAATGAGCAATCTGATTCAATGAATGATGGAGCTGAGTGCCTTTTTGCCCAAAATATCATTTAAGCTGCTCCAATGCTTTTTACTATCATTCTTTATGTCATTTATCTTTGTTTCATAGTATAGTTTCTTCTTTTTATTCAGTTTAGTCACATGATTTCTCAATTTGCAGTACGTTTTCCAATCGGTTGTGCAGCCAGACTTATTTGCCATTCCTTTTGCCTCATTCCTCTCAACCACACCATTTTTCAATTCCTCATCAATCCACAGGGATATTAATAGTTTTTTCAGTCATTTTCTTAACGGGTGCATGCTTATTAGTAACTGGAATAAGCAATTTCATAAATGTGTCAAGTGCAGCGTCTGGATGCTTGTCATTACACACCACAGACCAACAAACATGCTTTACATCAACAACATAGGAATCACTACAAAACTTATTGTATGACCTCTTATTGCTAGACTCAGAGTCTCGTCTCTCCTATCATTGCTACGCAGACGACACACAATTAATTTTCTCCTTTCCCCCTTCTGATAACCAGGTGGTGAATCGCATCTCTGCATGTCTGGCAGACATATCAGTGTGGATGTCGGATCACCACCTCAAGATGAACCTCGGCAAGACGGAGCTGCTCTTCCTCTCGGGGAAGGACTGCCCGCTCTATGATCTCGCCATCACGGTTGACAACTCCGTTGTGTCCTCCTCCCAGAGTGCAAAGAACCTTGGCGTGACCCTGGACAACACCCTGTCGTTCTCCGCTAACATCAAAGTGGTGACCCAATCCTGCAGGTTCATGCTCTACAACATTCGCAGAGTACGACCCTACCTTACACAGAAAGCGGCACAGGTCCTAATCCAGGCACTTGTCCTCTCCCGTCTGGATTACTGCAACTCACTGTTGGCTGGGCTCCCTGCCTGTGCCATTAAACCCCTACAACTTATCCAGAACGCTGCAGCCCGTCTGGTGTTCAACCTTCCCAAGTTCTCTCATGTCACCCCGCACCTCCGCACACTCCACTGGCTTCCAGTTGAGGCTACAAGACCATGGTACTTGCCTAAGGAGGTGCCGTTCCTGTGAGGGGAACGGCACCTCCTTACCTTCAGGCTCTGATCAGACCCTACACCCAAACGAGGGCACTACGTTCATCCACCTCTGGCCTGCTATCTCCCCTACCTCTACGGAAGCACAGTTCCCGACCAGCCCAGTCAAAGCTATTCGCTGCTCTGGAACCCCAATGGTGGAACAAGCTCCCCCACGACGCCAGGATAGCGGAGTCACTGACCACCTTCCGGAGACACTTGAAACCCTACCTCTTTAAGGAATACCTGGAATGGTATAAAGTAATCCTTCTTCCCCCACCCCCCATAATGTTTTTTTTTTTTTTAAGTGGTTGTCCCACTGGCTATCATAAGTTGAATGCACCAATTTGTAAGTCGCTCTGGATAAGAGCGTCTGCTAAATGATGTAAATGTAAATGACATTGCCAGCAGTAGAACCACAAATATTGAGATGAGCAAGATGCAAGACCTCTCACAAAGTCACACACAGTATCTGCGCATGTGCATGGGTTCGCTTCATGCTGTTCAGTGTGGTATCCAGGGCACCAGAACAGCAGAAAAGTTGAGCCTCGAGCTTCAACGCTCTTAGTTGTTGCGGAAACTGACCCGCTATGCTGTTCAGTTTCTGCATCTATGTCATATTGTTGAGTGTACCTTTAAAACATGTCAGGAAACCTACAACACTTCAGCAATACTTAATTACCTTTTTTTGGAAGGAAAACGATTTAACTCATATTGTGATTTATTATAGGTCATATTTAATAGAAATCTGGAAACACTGGTCAGTTACTTTAAAGTATGTCACAGAAAAACTAAAACATTTTAGCAATAATTTGCAAATGTAAAATGATCCATGCATGTTACAAGTGTGAAACGTTACGTAAGTCAACATTCAACCAATCAGCTGCTGCTCTTCAAACAGGAAGTTGTATGCATGCTTAGGACGCTTGTTTTCTTCTTCTCAGCGACTTGCTTTTTTCATCAACAAAAGGCATTTTTCCATCTTCAGTTTGCAAAATGAAACAAAACTCAAATGTACCAGCCTTTCTCACAAAGCTTTGGACTCTTGTGGAGGATTCTGACACCAATGAATTTATTTGTTGGAGTCAGGTAAATTATATTGCCCAACTGAGTGTGCCAGCCTGGCAGAGCTAGGTAGCGCTAGCACTTGACTCTGCAGGGTGTGAAACGAGTTAGCCAGCTAAATAGCTAGTTAGCTATTTATCATCTGTGGCCTCATATACCGAGTTATAGTATCTATGTCTGCCTAGTCCTAGATGCAGGTGTCGGTAGTAGGCTTCAAGAAGCATCGTTTTGTTACTGAGATTCATTTGCTATTGTTGTCCCTGCTGGCTAAAGGCAGCTAGCACGTTATTTTGAATGATCTGTTTGCAAATTGGCTAGTTTCTTATAAGAGCATATAAATAAAACTGGCTAGCTTCCTATAAGAGCATATAAATAAGCATTCCATGATAAAATAAAGCAAGAATACCCATGCTCTATTTAGTTCCTGAAATGTAACACACAGAAATGTAATTGAATGGAAGTAGTTGTAGACATTATAATCTCCTAATTCTTTTTTTTTTTTTTAGGAGGGTAACAGTTTCCTTGTCATGGATGAACAGCGATTTGCCAAGGAGATCCTTCCCAAGTTCTTCAAGCACAACAACATGGCCAGCTTTGTCAGACAGCTGAATATGTGTAAGTAAGCGCTTCTATAAACATAGCGGCTCAGTTTTATTGGAATGCCTCCTGTGCAGCTGTCTAATGGGTGGTCAATTTGCAGATGGATTTCGCAAAGTGATGCACATCGACACAGGCATAGTAAAGCAAGAGCGGGATGGACCAGTTGAATTTCAGCATCATTACTTTAAACATGGTCAGGATGACTTGCTGGAAAACATAAAAAGAAAGGTAAGGCCTCATGTAAACAAACATATGATGGTAAACAAATAAATGACCTATATCAGTATGTCAAACTGAATAAGGGCATATTTTTTCAGGTTTCCAATGCAAGACCAGATGATACCATGATCAGACAGGAAGACCTGTCCAATATTTTGGCCAGTGTCCAGAATGTTCACGGAAAACAAGAAAGCATTGATTCTAGACTCAACACACTGAAAAGGTAAGCAAACTACCATGCACCTGGCTATCAAATGGTGGTTAGAAAGTAGTAGTGATGTGTAGTGATGTGTTGGTTTGGAGACAGTTCTATGCTGATGCTTGAATTTATGTTTACAGAGATAATGAAGGTCTATGGAGGGAAATATCAGACCTGAGACAGAAGCACTCCCAACAGCAGCAAATCATTAAGAAGGTGCAGAAAAAAATTCTGCACCAAGAATGACTTTCCATATTCAGTGGGAATTGAATTGGAAACAATTTCCTTACAATAAAACCACTTAACAATTGGCCTTTAGGGTATTATAGTTCAGTCTAACTTTGGTAATAATTGTCTTTATTCATTGCAGTTGATAGAATTCATTGTCACATTGGTACAGAAGAACCGAATGAGTTTAAAACGCAAGAGGTAAGGCTTCATAGTATAGCAATTCTTCCTCTGAATGAAATCATCGATTACTAAACACTGTTAATCCATTTTACATCTCAATCTCCATTTTACAGGCCTATTCTACTGAACAGCAATGGAAAGAAGCCTAAATACATCCATGAAATCTACGATGAACCTCCTCTGGACCACAACAAAGTATGTGTAGTTCTGAATGGGTTTACCTCCTTATGTAAAGTGTACATGGTGGTGTCCATCCAATCAGTCATGACACTAATGATACTAGCAAATAGATCTATTTTTCTTGACAATATTAAGGCAGGATCACTGCCCAGGAAAATTGCTTATTGTGAGAACAAAACTTGACATTCGCGGTGGGGCAGATTTCTTCCATAATATGAGTTTTTAATGTTACTTCAAAAGTATGTTTTCTCAATGTAAGCTATTCTTAAGATGTACATTCTTAACTCTCTCCCAGCCCTCTGTCAGTGGTTTGAAGAGCACTGATCTTACTGACGATGTCATCATCTGTGATGTAACTGACGATGACACAGAGATCACAGAGGGCCCCTCAAGAGTATTGGATCAATCGTAAGTCAACATAAACACTTTTGTTTAATGTATATTTCCATCTGCCATCATCTATCCTCATGCCTTTTCTCCTCTCCTTCATTCTTAGGGATGTAGAAATAGTTGAGGTCTTCAACAGCAATACTGTGTCACAGACAGACAGCGTTGACAATATAGGACAGACCAACTCTTTGGTAATCGAACCAGAAGAGACCACCATAAGCACATATGATAGCCTTCCCACAAGCAGCACCTTGCAGCTCAACAAACCGTCAGGCTTGAGCCTAGAGGATCCCATGAAGATGATGGACTCAATCCTCAATGAGAGTGGAGCTATTTCTCAGAATATCAACCTCCTCGGCAAGTAAGTGGACTTGACTAGCTTTACCTTTGTGGCCTGTAGTTCCTGAAGAACTTGCATTTTTGCATTTGTAAGGCCTATTGAATTATTGTCTCGGCTTACAGTTAATAGGCATCCAAATGTTTAACAGGGTTGAGCTGATGGACTACTTGGACAGCATTGACTGCAGTTTGGAAGACTTTCAGGCTATGTTGTACGGGAAGCAGTTCAGCATTGATCCAGATATTTTAGAGGTATGCTTTTCATATTGAAATGTAATAGTGCATTACATTTCTGTTGTATGTCATGATGAACAGGGAAGTTGATAGGCCCCAGAGGTTTATGTTAATTACATTTCCATACAAAATCTACAGTGATGCACTTGTATAGAATTACCTGGTTCCCCCACTCAATTCAATATCCGGGGTGTATTCATTACAGAAACCGTTTTAAGAACCAAACACAGCAAACGGAATGAAACAGGGAGGGACCTACCTGAATTTGTCCAATAGTAACTCTTGTTTGCATTTCCCATTTGGAGGAAACGGTTTCTGTTGCGAAACGTTTTGCCACAGAATCTACGTAATGATTACACCCCAAGTCTGTCTGAATTGTCCTTTTATTTGTATTTCTGAATCCTCATTAACTTCACTCAATTATGTCATCTTTAGGGGAGTGGTGGTGGTGGTTCCAAAGAAAATGCAGGGCTGCTATCCAAAGGAGGCAAGTCTGGTTTCTCTGCAGACAACCAGCTGGTCCAGTACACATCCTGCCCTCTGCTGGCCTTCCTGGATGGCTGCACCCCTTTGGCCACAGAGGGAGACAGCCTGCTGCAGCACAGCACTGAGGTGCCCACAGACCTCCTGGAGCCAGACGAGGAGCCTCCACGGAGCTCTCTGATCCGCCTGGAGCCCCTGACTGAGGCAGAGGCCAGCGAGGCAACGCTCTTCTACCTGTGTGAACTCAACCCAGAGGGTGACACTACTGACTCGACACAGCTGGAGATTTAACAAGGCATACAAGGAGCAGAAAAAGGATTGGACCTTTTGTAGATACTCGTCAAAATGATCTATTTATTTCCCTGTATCTTTTTGGTACATTCCTGTCCATAGGTCAGAAGTAAGATATTCCGTCATTTAGTATTGTTTCTTCACTATTTCCACTAACGGCTGTACGTAAACCCTGATAAAGATGAGGCTGCAATTATGTTGTTGGTTTAGGTTTCAGCATTTCTTGTGAAAAGGGGAATGTTTCACTATGTAGTATTGATATGTTTTAAGGATCACATCAATCTTTAATGAACAAAAAACAGAAGTGCCTGCATCATATTTCCTTGTCTTAGTAAAACCTACAGTTCATCATTTCAAGTACTGTAGTCTGGTGTGTACCGTATGTATCATAAGGTTTCATGTTAAGATGCATAGATTGTCACTGTTACAAGCTTCGCAATAACATTAAAAGAACAGCAAAAGCATAATTACATTCTGAATGCTTTGTTCTGTAGGTAAAGGTATAATGAAGTGGCAGAATTCAGGAAAACGCATGCTTTGCCTTTATTTATTAAAGGTGGGTTACAATGCGCTTTAATACGTCAAAAGGCAAAAACAATTGTCAGTCTGCTAGAAATACTGAATACACATTTCTAGTATGTTAAAGCATCTACAAAATAACATCCACTGAATTACAGTATTTTACATTAAGATAACTCCAGTGCGAATCATAAGTAACAATGTACACAACTGAGGGACTAATATTTGACCTATAACACAAGATGTGCATGTTGCAAAAGGGAAAGTTTCAGTTTTGCGATTTGGGAGGATGTTCTGAAAAGGAAAGCACAGCAAAGCATGATGGTAGATCAGCCTATAATATCATGCCAATGGTACATCACTGATGGAAATGAATTTAGGATTACATCAATGAGCTAATATCTGAAACCCTGCACCTCATTGCTACATATGCATAACTTAAAGTAAAGTGTAGCATATTATCAAACATCAAGCAGTCTTGCCCATTTTGTAACAAATCAACAGTTCTTTCTGAATGTCTCTTATCCAGAATCAATTACAGTTGAGGACGAGTCCTCCCTTCTTTAACTGACCACACTGATGTCCACTGACCATCTCTCCAAGCCCCAGCAACCTTTTTCAAACCCAACTCTGCAAAAAACATTTAATTTTTCAATAGGATAAAACACCTATGTATTCAATACTATAGCATGCATGCAGTTTATTAACAAAAAGGGTGGGTGGGTTATCCACGGGGGATGCACATACAGTATTTACAGAGCTTGTTCACCTTACAAGTTGAATATTCAAAATTATAATCTTGAGCAAATGATTGCCCCCCTCATTCTTTAGATCATCAGTCAAAGTCTCGGTTGACCAGGACCAGTGGGGCTGCCAGGGTCCACACATAGAGGGCAATGCAGATCCAGCTGGAGGAGATCTTCACCCACACAGAGGGCCACTTGCTGGTCATTGTCTCATAGTTGGAGTCAGGGCTGAGAAAATCAAAAACAACAGGGAAAGATCTCATTTAGGCTACTGTCTGTGTGTATTTCACACTATGTTGAGGTAACAATCGGAGTATAATGCTTGTATGGATGTCAACCCCAATACATGTTAATGTTATCCTTAACCAATCAATTGCATTTGAGTTAAAAACAACTGACAACCACCACCGATTTCTGTTTACTAGCTATGCTAACCATCTTATCCGAACGGGAGTGGAGTTAGCATTTAGCAGGCACTTCTTCTAAACCCGAAAAGAGACAACTTCTATATGTTATGCAGTGAAAACAGCCAAATACTGTATATCCAAACCGGACTTAAGCAACCACATTGTGGGCCTGTTACAATACATAAATCATGACGGATTTGACAAATATCCACTTTGTTAGATCAGATTTCTTGACTGTGCGCCAACCTGGTCAATGGAACTTCTGCGTTTCATTGACTATTTTACCGCATCTATTGGCTACCTTTTAAATAAGTGGCCTGTATATATTTTCACAATATTCAATACATTACTGCAATTGCCTAGTTATCATCCTACCAGACCAAATCACCCAGGAGAGTGAGGACACACACCTGTACCAGTTGGTGAGGGTCATCATGATGTAGAGGGAAGCCAGGAAGAGCATGAAGTGGAAGAAGGAGTAGCTGTAGGTGACTCCGTCCTTCTCGTTGTCCACGGCACGGTTCTCACCATCTTCCACGTCAAAGTTCTCAGGGTGGTGGCCATCCTCAATCAGGGCAGACTCGTCACTGGTCAGAGTCAGTTTGTTCACCTGGGTGTTGGAGGAGTTGCGGATGCTAGAGAAGTGAATGGATAACATGTTATTGTCAGGGTCAATAGCAGCTGCACAAAGCTGGTAAATGGTAAAATAGCATTAGCAGTTCCTTAGAAGAGAACACTGCAGACATTGTTGTTTGGGCCTGACCTGTTTCCTTACCTTGAGTACAGAACACACATCAGGAACAGGACCAGCCCCACAATGCCCTGAGCATCCCACCACTGAACAACAGGGTGGTCCTTACCAGCTGGGGTGGTGTTGTTGAGGCCAATGATACCCAGCAAGCTTGGGTTACATTTCCTGTCTGTGGATGGCAAAGACAAACACATTTACTAAAGTGATTGTCTTGATGAAGAGCTAGCCACTTATTGGTGTATTTTGATCATTAAAACACTCACCTGGCTCGTTAGTCATGGCAGACCAGGTGAGATACATGGTGTACAGAGTCACAATGGAAGACTGCAGCAACCCGGACCTTGGCTGGGACTCCTGTTGAGAAAAGGGGTACGATAACACCAAGATGTAAATGTGTCAGAATATATTATAATTACATGTTTATTATACAAGATGAAGGTCCAGAGACTAAGGTTTTCAGGGTACAACATGGAGTGTGAGGAGACATGCTGGCCCAATGCACTTCCTTACCTGAATCTTGGGCAGGACGGACATGACTGAGGCTCCGACACACAGCAGCATGTTGACACTGATGAAGGCTTTGTTCTCAGTGCAGCCGTCAGTGTGGGTGTAGTAGATGTAGAACATGACCAGAGACACCAGGGACAGGATGTAGTTGATGGTTGTAGCAGACAGCAGAGCTGCACGGGAGGAATGACACTTACTAGTTATGTCTGGACAGTGGGGACAGTGGGAGTTAGAAAAGTGTAGACACAGAGGATTGCTTTAACTCAACCTGTCACCAGTGCATTTTCACAAGGTATTCTTAAAGAGAAGCTCCTGTTGATTACCATACCTGCATACCAGCAGCGAGAGTTGCCCTCCTCCATCTTCTCCACCCAGGACTCATTCCAGGAGTGGGCAAAGTCAATCAGCAGGACCAGCTGGATCAGGATGAAGCAAAAAGCTCCAGCCATTCCTATGTAGAACCAAACTAAGGGAGAGAAGGGCAAAGTGTGAACTACTTTCAAATAGCTGCAGGCTAAGTGAGTATTATTGGCTAAACGTATATTTCCATGAGCCAGAAAAAAATTCATAAGGACCATTACCAGTTGTGAAGGGACCCTCTGGAATGAAGAATGCACCGATGGTAATGGCAGTCGCAGCAGCAAACTTGAAGAACCAAAACCTAAAAGAAAGCGTAAGTATTTTAACTGATCGACCTGTTTGAACTTAAATATACTTTTAGATACCCTTGTTCCTCATTTCTCTTCCTGCATTGCAGTATATAATGCTTACTGAATAAGACACAGTGCTATTTACCCATTGTGTACAGAAGCTCTGGGATCTTGGCTACTCTTGACTTTGACCATGAGGAGGGAGAAGAGCAGGAAGAACATGGCCATTCCAAAGCAGACACGGTACACAGCCTTGTAGCCAACCAAGACATCACAGTTGATATGACCCTCCACACCTGGAATTGATGTACCCATTCCCCCATCACAGAATCCTGGAATCTGCAAGAGCCAAGATGCACAAGTAATTATTCAGGCCAAACAAAAATGTGTAGAATTAGTTATCTAAATTGTAAATGTTGTATATCAAATACATAACCACATAGTTTGGTACCTTATTGAGCTGCTCTTCCATCCCTGGCATGAGCATAATGCATGCAATGCCCACGCCCAGCAGGAGGAAGAAGGCATAGATCAGTCGGGTGACAGTGGAGTTATTCCCACTGGGGCAGAATTTGCACACCAGGCAGGGGGCAGTGCCACACAGGCAGGGGATCTACAAGGCAAGACAAGGGAATGAGGTTAAACATGATTAAAACCAATTAGCTAAATCATACAAGTATTGAACTGATGCTGACAGAATAATATATCTGCCCACCACTGAATGGTTTTACAGTTAGAATACAGCCTAAGTACAAAGTCAATAGGGTTTTCATTAATTGACAAAAGTTAATAAATCTACTTAGGGTTGACGTAACACCAACACACTGTTGTTTTTGCCAAGTTGCTAACTACGTTGGAAACCAAATCTCTGCTAAGAATAGAGATCTGGCCATGGCAGGTGTCAAACCTAATCAAGTTGATACCAATGTGGAAGAAAGACCAGACAGTTAACGCTACACTTTTAGCTTGAAAATGGTTTCAGGAATAGGATTAGTTAAACTAAATAGGAAACAATCCCAGACATATGCCTACCTGAACTGAGTGCCGTTATGTTCAAGAGTATTTTCATGGCCCACATTTCACAATGCACTGGTAGGCTAACTGGAGACGTCATAGTTAACGTCAGATGTTATCTGACATTTGATTCTGTTTTGACGGCTAGCTACCATGTTGCAATATTTCCAAGTACCGGGCTTAAACTAGCTAAGCTATCAATGACAAAGTGGCTGTCTAACTAGCTCTCAAGTAGGCCTACATTGCTGTAGAATCGAAAATGTAAACGTAGAGAGAGCACGCAAAGCAAACCAAACTAACAGTGCGTGGTTAATGTACATAAAAACATAGTCGGCGATCGAACTGACAAAACCTGCATATGACGATTGTCTATCAATACAATTATGATAATTTTAACAATCTAACATTAGCTAGCTAAAATTAGCTAATACAATTGTAGTCATGTTTTTGAAAGATTATCCGGGACCAATGTATTTTATTAAAAGGCAATGTACCAGGCCAGAATGAACAGGGAACCACCCTGGCTTTGTTGTTGCGCATTGACGCTAACACAGCTACAGTAACATTAGGATTACTGTAGCTAGCGAAGCTGTCGTCAGAAGAAATTGTTGATTCGGTCCGTTTAAAAAAAAAGCTGGATCTGATGTCGACTTTTATTTTAATTAAGAAAAAACCGAAGGCTTACCCAACTCGCCATGGAGCACAGTCCGAGAACGGCCCCCATGATGTTTTGTTGAAATAAGACTTCCCTGTGCTGTAAAAGATGGGTGCTTTTCGTCTGTTTACAATCGCTCTTCTTGCTCTTCTTCTTCTTCTTCTTCTTCTTTAGGATTTGGTTCTGCTTCTTCTTCTTCTTCTTTAGGATTTGGTTCTGCTTCTTCTTCTTCTTCTCCAGTGGGGGTTTATCGGCAGGTGGCATCCAACGTTATGGTGCATTACCGCCACCTACTGTACTGGAGTGTGGGCCAGAGACGGGGAGAAACACATTTTTTTTTTCTCACCTTTATTTAACCAGGTAAGCCAGTTGAGAACAAGTTCTCATTTACAACTGCGACCTGGCCAAGATAAAGCAAAGCAGTGCGATAAAAACAACAACACAGAGTTACATATGGGTTAAAACCAAACATAAAGTCAAAAATACAACAGAAAATATATATACAGTGTGTGCAAATGTAGCAAGTTATGGAGGTAAGGCAATAAATAGGCCATAGTGCAAAATAATTACAATTAGTATTAACACTGGAATGATAGATGTGCAAGAGATGATGTGCAAATAGAGATACTGGGGTGCAAATGAGCAAAGTAAATAACAATATGGGGATGAGGTAGTTGAGTGGGCTAATTTCAGAAGGGCTGTGTACAGGTGCAGTGATAGGTAAGGTGCTCTGACAACTGATGCTTAAAGTTAGTGAGGGAGATAAGAGTCTCCAGCTTCAGAGATTTTTGCAGTTCGTTCCAGTCATTGGCAGCAGAGAACTGGAAGGAATGGCGGCCAAAGGAGGTGTTGGCTTTGGGGATGACCAGTGAGATATACCTGCTGGAGCGCATACTAAATCCTACCTGCCAGCCCCGTTACTCTTAAAAAATATAACAAAATATTTGAGACTATATCTAATGACGTTCTACTCAAACTAATTTCCTGTATCCCATTCTAGCTCATTCTAGATCTCATCCTCTCTCTTTCCCTCTGATACTGCCCACACTGTAGCAATACATGCTCCACAGTCTCTGTTTCCTGACAATAATCACACTTTCCTGTTGTATCACATTTAATGTCGTATTCAACTGGCTGTGTCCCACCCTTAATTTTGTCAAAATAGCCTCCTCTCTTCTGTCCCTTCCTGCCGTCCTCCCCTCCCCGACTTTCCTCTGTACTTGAAATAAATGCCTTCCCTTATTATCTCTATTCCACTGCTCCTGCCATCTCTGCACCATCACTGTAAATATCAGTATTTTTGCCTCTGCCTTGCTCATTGAAACTTCAACATCAACATCCCCACTACTAAGTGCTTGTTTAGCCTGTTCATCTACTGCCTCGTTCCCCTCAACCCCCACATGGGCTGGGACTCAAGTAAATCTTATCTGAATACCCATCTGTTTAATCCTGCCATGGGTTTGTTGCACCTTATAAAGAAGGTCTTGTCTGCTACGTGAGCTGAAGGACTGGAGACTCATTAACACTGCACATGAATCAGAGCAAATAACTACTCTGTCTTGTTTGACTTCCTCCACCCACTGCAAGGCCAACAGTATGGCCATCAGCTCCACCGTATATACAGCCAGATGATCTGTAATACGTTTCCTGACTTCCACCCCACATTCCTGCACTACAAATGCTGACCCAGTACGTCCTGTCCTTGGATCTTTTGAACCATATGTGTAAATGGCCATAAAATCCTGATACACAGTTTCCAGACGTCTCTTAAAGAAATCAGATGGATCAACACCCTCCCTATCTTTCTGTAGTCTCTCCAACACTTCTAGATCAACTACTGGAGGCGGGAGTAGCCATGGTGGATTTACAGGAATAACTGCCGTTGGACTAAACTCCCTTCCATACAGTCTCATCTCCTTCGCCTGGGTATTACCCACCCACCCGAAGCTCGTGTTCTATTGTCGCTCATGTTCCCAGGATGCCTGTAAAATCCCTTTCGCAGGATGAGACACCCCATGTCCTTGTAGGTTGACCCAATAATTCATTGCCAGCTGCTGTCTCCTAATCTGCAATGGCATATCCCCATCTCCACCTGTAATGCAGCCACTGGGGATGTCCGAAACGCCCCACTACATATTCTGAGTCCTTGCCCCTGTATGACATCTAGCCTTTCCAGTGAGGTCCGGGCTGCCGAACCATATGCTATACTTCCATAGTCTATTACAGATCGGATCAATGCAACATACATGGTCTTCAATGAGGAACGCCCAGCCCCCCATTCCTTCCCCGTCAGACAGCGCATCACATTTAGCACCTTCTTACACTTTCTCACCACTCTTAGGATTTGGTTGGTGGATCGCATCCAATTTTTAGGTGCATACACCGCCACCTACTGTACTGGTGTGTGAGGCCATTCACGGCCTACCTACATTAAATTCTTGATACGGTAATACAACATTTAAAAAAATTTAAATGAAAATTGCCCTGCCAACTATTAACCCTCTAAAAAAAATAAAAAAATAAAAATAACTATTCTACTATTTAACCCTATCTAATCCTACTCCAGACCAACGGTCTGAGAGGATAGAACACTGCCACTCAATACCCCCTGCAACTGTTCTGCAGTAAATCCTTGCAATCCCAAGTACTTCTCTGCCACAGCCACCACAACCTTTCTGTGACTTCCGATCCATTTCTACAGTACAATTGACAACCATGGCTATGAATGCTAAAAAGCACATCTTACTGAAGCACATATTCTTCCCATCGCTCTCTCTTGGTCTCTGCCTAGCCACAGGAATCCTCTCAGTATCCCTCACCCTGTACCCATCTTCCTCTACCACTCTCTTCACTGCTTCGCCATACGACACTTTCTGTACTACTCTGACCATGGCAACTTCAACCTGCCTTTCTCTCACTGGACACCTCCAATCTTCAGCCCCATGGGCATCCCCACAGCTAACACACACAACATTCTCCACTACTACACATTCCTTTGTTTCATGCCCTCCTGCACACTCCTCACATCTAGGAATCTCCCTACTATACACTGCTGCAACATGCCCATAAACTTGTATTTTCGGAACAAAAGCTCTCATGGGATAACTTACACTTTTGACCTTGTCGGCAAAGACTCTACATTAAAACTCAGCAGGACAGACAATGTCTTCCCCGTTTCACCACACTCTCCTCCAGATCTCCGTCGCACCAAACGGCGGGCATCACAGACACCGGGAATCTTCAATTTCAACTGATCCTCCTCAACACTTAATACCACCCCCGTTATCACTTTTAAATGGGAATCCACCATCTATGACTCATTTCCGGTTAGCCTTGCGTGTGTGATCAAAGATGTGATCATGCACCAGTGTGAATAAATGCAGCATACTCAGAAAATGGGCACATTTGTTGCTTTGAATCTGTTTGTTTGTTCTAAACACAATGCCTTCATTGTTGTTGAATGAAAATTGTTACACATTGAAGGCAACAGTATCCAGGGTGGAAGAAATCAAATTAATTGGCTCACATTCCCTTCAATTTCACTCCAGACAAACGGCGGTATCTACCATTCTGCTCTCTCTTTGCTGGCTATCAGTGGCAGGACCAAGACTACATTTGTACCTGATTCTCCTGAGACTTTAACGTGAAACAATGTGTTTTCCCCCTCTAAATGGTTACAATGCATGATGCTCTATGCCTTTTCACTCTAATCTGATACATCAGGGATTGTAGTGCAACCCAAGGAAAGGCCCACAGGCCTCACAAGACTCATCTGAATGTCCCCCGGTACTGGTTGAAAAGATTAATGGAAGTATGTATGGAGACCGTTTAGTGGCAAAAATAAGGCGTTAAATTACATTAAAAATATTAAAAACTTCTTATGGGTTAATAGATTTCTGGAATCATGTTTCTTCCTTAATGGAAATAAAACATTACAATTAAATCGAGGGGGTTAAATGGACTCAGTTAATCTCTCCCGTGAATTCCATCATCATCACTTTAATTTGAGAAGAAAATAACTTGTCCTAACTGCATTTTCCCTATCTCGTTTCATTGATTTACTTCTTAGCTGTTTTCTAAATTGAATAATTGAGTCACATTGAACATGTAAATGCCCCCTGAGCACAAATGCTGCTGATAGAGAAAAAAGAGAATGTGTGGAAAATAAGTATGATTAATGCATGGCTTTTTCAGTGAGCAACAGTACAAAGGGCTACAATTAAAGTTCACAGTCGACAAATCAAACATGATGTTAGATCAGATATTTTGTAGCTTTATCACCATTAGGCTATTTTGGATAAACTCATATTCTGGCTATGGAGTATTAGGAAGTAATTCATGAGTACCTTGAGTTTCACATGTAAGTAAGTGCGTAAGTAGCCTCGCACAAGCCTTGGCATGGGCATCAGTTTGCCAAGTACCTTGCTCAGCATGAGGCTACCCTA